TTCTCTACCGCCGCGAATATTCCAGGACGCAACAAAAATAAAACAACTAAATTGAAGTGTCGCATTTCTTGGTTTGAAAATAAAAATAATCCAACAGATTCGAATTCAAAGATTCATTGATAGAAGTACAGTGGTAGGTCTTCCTACTCGTCTGCAGCGCAAGAGTAGATCACTTGAGATGCATTTGGTGGATTAGTTGTTGGGGTTTGCTGATGTGTGCTTATATAGGAGGCGGCAGAGGAGGTAGCAAAGCTAGTGACATTTGTTGAACTCGATTTTCGTATGCATTGCTCTCGATCGTGTTTGATCAATTCAATTGAGTCACGAGGAGTTAGATCCGAGCCGAATCAGTGCTAATTTGAACCTAATTTAATTAAATTTCCATTAATTAAATTATATTAAGTCCAAATTGGCCCGAATCGAGTCAATTCTGACCTAGCTGCACTCAATCGATTACGATCAACTCATGTCGGTCGTGTTGGGCTAAATTTTATTTTCGAGTGATGCCAATTGGGTCCAGTTTATATGATTGAATCTATTGAATTGACTCAAACTCAAACTAACTTGAATTGAGTCAAATTTGTACCCAAGTCTAACTTGATTTAGCCCAATTAAATTCTATTAAGACTCATTTGACCTTTTTAAACAATTTGAATTTTTTTCCTGTATCCAGAAATGTCATTAACGGCTCCTATTTTCCTGAAATCTGGACTCTACTGCTGCCATAGTGCTCAGTCGTGTGATCTTCCATTCTGGTGCTCCTCGGGTTACCTTTAGCGGAAGTTCAGGCGGGATGAGGCTATTTTGATGCTTCATCCCTACAGAAGTCTGGGACGAAACCTTCTTGAGGCATTAAAACTTTCGCTGTCTCTGGCTCTCGGTCCAAACAGCCCCCAGGCGGTCTCCCTCTTATTCCCCCCCCCCACGATCGCAGGAGGACCGAACTCCCTCTCTCTCCCTTTTGGTTTCGCACAGTCCAGGCAGAATACCCCCGCCCTTTCCCTATCATTTTCGTGCGGCGTAGGTCGCAATCCTCCCCTCGCCGAAGCCAAACTCAACGCCGAGGCTAGGGATCCCCTGCTCCTGCCACCGCTACTAGTCATGGAAGCCAGGGCCAAAGTTCCATTTCACTTGCTCTTCTCCTCTGTTCGGACCGGGCTCCAGGATCCCAAGCTCCTCTGTTCGATCCCGCCTCCAGGCTCGAACCCGACGCCAGCTTGACCCTCACCCCAACTACTGGTTTCTCTCCTCTTGCAAGGTGCATTTCCTTTCCTCTCCTAGTCTTTCTATTCTTTCATCCTTTTTCCACCTCTTGTCTTCTTCCTCCTTTCTTCCCTTCATTCTCCTCTTCTTCTTCCTTCTAATCTTCTTCTTTTTATTTATTCTTCCCTAATAAAAAGAGGAATATGAGTGATTATCTTATGGATTTCACTATCAGATGGCTCTTCTTATGCTTGCTTTAATCTCCTTGTTTCTTTGGGATCTGTTTTGGTTGATAGAATTAAAAAAAAAAAAAAGAACTGCTTGGCTTTAGTTTAACTGATGAAGAGAATGGAATTGACAAGTTAACTGGAATGATTCTTCATTACTCTTTGCTTGAGTTTGGTATGCACATAGTATTTAGTTGCTTTCACCCTTAAAATTGTAAACGATATATCTTTATGTTCTTTTATAAGTCAGTGATATTCTCCTTGTTGATAAAGTTAGATATGAAGTCTTGAATAAAAGAAGGGAAGCTTGTTTGCATTGTTTGGGTGGAGATTATATTCTCCTCATTATTCTGTCTAGAAGGATTAAAAGTTATGTCTTGACGATTATTTGCACTAAGATGTTGAAGTTCTAAATTATTCTATGGAGATTTGTTCTTTTCTTTTATACGCACGTATGCTTTGTGTCCAAGTCATTTTGATGAAGTTTTATGGTTGTGTTTTGGGTTGAAAAAATCAAGGAGAAACCATGCATTGTTTCCCCAAAATCCCCTTTCACCTTAGCTTCCCTTGCTCCTCACTTTAATTTAAGGCCTTGCGGATGGTTGGGTTGAAGACAAGTTACATTTATACAAGTTTGCTTTGGCCAAAACTGAAAATTAAATGCAAGTTTTATGGTGTATATGTCATTACATATATAATCCTCTTATTCCTATGGAATACGTTCATTCGTTATGCTAAATCCTATAATGGCTTGTGATGATAGTAGTTGATTTAGTCACAACGTATTGATTTATACTTCTATCCAATGTGTTGACTTACCTTGTTTTGGAATGGACAATTAGTATATGAAACTTACATTTGCCTTATGATTTAAAACTTTAGGTGTAAATGGTGGCAAGTCTTGAGAAGCCACGTTATTTCTTTACTAAAACATGCATGTCAAGTGTTTGTATTAATGCCTATTGGGAAACAGTGGAAGTTTTTCTTTAAAAAAAATGTGGCAAGCAAACATAGTTTTATTCCGTTTCAACTTCGCATGAGTTATGAGTAATTAGAAGTATGCCTAAGCTAAAGGAATGAGGAGTAGACATGCTTGCATGGTACTGCACCTATATTTCTAAGAGCATCTATGAATTTGGAAAAGGTAAAGATCTTGTTTATTTATAAAACAGTGACAATGTATAAAGTGATCTTATAACTCGATTCATGAGGGTTTTATGAATGGTTGGAAACAGTTAAAACAAAAATGCATAGCTATTTTAAATCTACATATCCATGTAGTTTACATCTTAAGGTCATGTTTGTATTTATGATGGAAGTGTGGATTACTTATAATTAAGAGAATGGTATTTTAGTATCATGTATAAGTCATATGATCCATGGAATTAGAAAGTTATGATTATATGTGGCATTGTTCTTGTTTCAATTTCGATAAAGTGCTAAAGCATATCTTGTTTATATGATTGATTTAGTTAATAGAAGAATGTGAAATCACTTCTTAGTGCGTGAAATATGTCATTTAGTTGGTGAAGTAAAGGAGTTAAAAGCTGCAACAATCATATCATAGTGATTTCATTTATATGCACTCATGGATTTTAGCATGGTATGGATATTCAATTTTTTGCGACGTGAAATCTAGTATTCATACTCTGCAATTTTTTTTATTTCTCGATCATGAATATGTAATTCATTTCTGAACTTGTTTGGAAAGACATGATGGTTTTATAGAGATCTTATGCTTAGTGGAATTTATAAATTTAGGTTGGAAAGATTAGTCTGCGTATTCCATAGCATATGATGCGAGTGTTCCAATTCTTTTTTTTTTTTTGGAAACAAATTAGATGTAGATTTTGATTCACTTTATGCTCCAAACTATTTTTGGTAGATGAATTTATGAGAATATTTATATGCTTTCTTCTTTGGAGAAGATTTTTTAGCTTGTTGGAATTATTGAGGCGTATATTCTTTGAATATATGCATTGTGCTTGAAGTAAGAAATAGATTTATGTTTCTTTTATGATAACACATCAAGTGCTTGTTTGGCCTTTTTGTGTTATATTGGTTGGGAGAACTTTACATATGTTTCTATAATAAAATGGTTTCATTAGTGGAGTTTGGAGAAAGTATTAAATGATCATAAGTTTTACATCCCTTTTCGTTACCACGTAAGCATAACATTGGCATTGGGCTTTGGCAAGAATCATTGTTGTGGGAATACAAACCTTATCACATGGGAAATGTAGCCTAATGCATGAATTGTTATAGATTTTATTGTTCGCCAAATTACGCATTTGCAAGCTTTCTTGAATTTTTTTAAAGGCATATGGCATGCGTTGTTTCCTTTTATGTTTGTCACACCCCAGTTTGCCTTTCTTAATGGTTAAAATATTATTACTAATTCTTATACATTGCTTATGTATTTCATTTGGTCATAGCTTATTGGCAATGGTTGTATTGCAGACAAGGGAAAGGAGTTCGTAAGGAATTAAAGGGGTGACTGTTCTTTTTTGGTGTACATATGTTTTGGGTGTACAAATGGTCTAAAAAGAGATCTGAACAATAGCTATGCAAACTTTTTGGATATTTAATAGATTTCCTTCTTTGTTATACTCCAGTTCTAATTTGGGGTGTGACAGTGTTGATGAAGGCATGATAGCTTGAAGTAACCTAGAGCTTCTAACACTTGTGGTTAATTTGTAGAGTCAAGTTTTGTGTTCACTCTTGAATGTTCAAGCTCTCTTTCTTTATGTCTCCCTCTCATTTTGGGTTCTTGTTCAAAGGAATTTTTCTAGAGAATAAACCTATTGCATTAAGTATGTCTTGGGAGAGAAATTTGTTGTATTACTTGTAGACAATTGTATTCGGAAAGATATTTCGTGGGCAACTATTCTTGGAGAAATACTCATGTATTTTCTCTCTTGAACGAGTTTGCATAGATTCAATATGATTTTTGTTTTGAGTGTAATACCAAATCAAGACTTAGAGAGCAATGAGGTTGCATCAAGTCTTCTTCTTCCTAGCAATATTTGGTGGAATGGTGATTTGGGAAGGTTGGTGTGTATAAGTTTGTGGTGAGTCATGCTTGTTAAAAGATTAACATGTGTGAATTTGTTTTGTTTCGTTTATATGGGAGTCTTTCTCCCATTGTTGCACTTTGGCATTTCTTTTTGGTCAGATTGTTCCTCAGTTTGTAAGCCTTTCTAGAAAGCTCTCTTTCTTTGAAGAATTGATGCTTTAAAATGGTTTTTTTTATAGTTTTGTGAATGTTTTATAACAAAAATCTTATGAAAATTTCTTTTGGTTTACCCCACACCAAAAAGCACTCGTTATTTGTTTTGTGTCGAAAAGTGCTTTGGTGGGTTTCTTATAAAAAAAAAATAAGAGAAAATTTTATGTGCCGTTTCATTTGAAAAGTTTTACAAATTATTTTGGGATTTAGAGCTTTATAATTAGCTTTAAGTTGAAAGGCTCTTTGATGTCTTTTTAGAATGAAATGATATTTTGTATGTGAGTTGTCTTTCTTCTCTTTGTGTTTGCTTCTAGAGTTAAATTTAAATAAATGTGGAATGAAAACTCGTTTGGGTTTTAGTTTTGGGAATTTGTCTTCCCTTTGCTACTTTGAGCTTTATTTAGGAAATAGTGTGTGTGTGTGTTTCGAGGGTTTGTTTTCTGAATGTGGGAAGAGTAAAATAATATCAAATTCACCTTTCTCTTATTCATGTTTGACTCGAATGCTGAAGTCGAGTAAAGAATGGGTGTGAGGCATGATTGACTTTGAAAAGACATGCCAGATAATAAAGATGCTTACATACCTTTCTTTTTATTTATTTCTTTTTTTTTGATATTTTGTTGGGGCTTTATGTGAATTATTTCTTTATAGCGTTTGCAATCATATTGGAATACTTTCTTTTAAACTTTAGGGGAGAACGAACTTGCACCAAATTAGCTTTCTCACAATTATAACCTAGTAGAGATTTAACATTAGCAAAACTACTCGCTTGTTGCTTTATTTTGGAAATGTGTAGTCTTTATTTTTGTTATGAAAAAGCATGTGATTTCGTTGTAGTGACTTTAGTAGAAATGTAAAGAACAATTTGGCATGCACCCAAAAATTTTTTTATGACTTTCCTAAACATCTTTTTCTAGATTCTATTAGCTCTTGATTTGCAACATTATATGTTTTGGCATGAGATCATATTTGCAAGTTTAAGTTGTTCTTTTGAAACTTTTTGGTGACATATAGAATGCAGTTGTAAACCATGCTTTGCATCCAATAGAAGTTGTAGGAAGTTTAACATGTAATTGTTTCAAATATGAGTTTCTTATAGAATTTATTTAATGTTGCATGGTGTGTGTTGGAAGTGCAAGTTTTGGGGTGGTTGTTGGAAGAAGGGAGAGGTGGTAGCTCTCTTTTCTTCTCAATCTATCCTCTCCTTTCTTTATTGTTTTCTCTCTACTTGTGTCTTATGATAAAATACAGCACTTCCAAAATTCAAAGTTCTAAAAGACTAGCAATCAAGTTGGTGTCCAAGCAAAAAAAAGAGAGGTATGTTTTTATTTAATTATATTTCATTATGATTATTTGCTTATTATATATGAATATGCTATAATACAACTCTTGTTTGCTTTTTAGAAATTTTGCGAGGCGATTTTTGGAGAGCAAAGGGGAAGAAGCATTGGAGCACTAGGCGAAGGAGTATGGACAGTCGGATCTGAACATCAGTCTCCCCTATTCAGTCTAGTATGGGCGCTACGGGCAGAACCACCGGGTCATAGCCCTCGGTGTTGTAAGTCTCCTTAAAGTTAGAAACTTCATTTATAATTAGGATTACTTTTTTTTTTTAGATCCCTAAACCTGTTTACATACGTACGAATGTCCTAATGGTTAGAAACACAATTCCTTTTTGTCCCATAACTTTAGTGACACATAAGGACAAAAATTAAGGACCAAATATTAGATAAGATAGACTTGAGCATATGCTTCTTTTATGATATAATTATCAAAACATAAACTTAGTGACATATTTTTCTAGGTTTAATGTGTCTTAACTCATTAATAATTAACCAACCAAATAATTCATAATTCAATTCTTAAAATGTATTAAAACACATTACTTTTAATCAAATCATAATTAATGTGTATAACAACTGAAATGTAAAATTTAAATTAGGTTTAGCCAAACTATTAATCAATCTCTAACCAACCTAAAACATAAAAAATATAGATTAAATTAGGAGGACAAATCTAAACTAAAATTTTCTTAGATAAAAGACTCCTAAGATTAATCAAACCTTAAGTTAATCTTTTAAAATCAATTAACAAACCTCTTTATTAATAAAACATTTAACTCACTTTTCTTTTCTTTTTTTAATTTATAACCAACTAAATTAATCCAACAAAATTGGTTACCATTGGGTAACCCAAGCCTACGAGGTTATTAAGTTAGCCCCAAGGAGGGTGAAATAAACCTCACTGCCTCGATGAAAAATAAAGGTGGTAATCAACTAAATTCTAAAATAAAACTTTTAAAATCAATCTTAAGACATTAATATTTAAACTCAAATTAAATTTTTCTTTTGACCTTTAACAAATCAAAACACAAGCAACTATAAATAAATCATCTAATATAGGACATACCCAAAACTATACATCCTACTACACATACTTTGACTTGTTTATTAGAACACGACTTCTATCTCCAGGTTAGGCCGGTATTTTCTTTTCTTTTTACCTATATGATGTGACGCCTTGTATGTGAAACATGTGTTGTTTGTTTCTGTTATTTGTTTTAGCTTTATGTGATGTTTTCTATGATGATTACTAATTTATTTTTTGCATTGTGTTGTGAGCGATAAAATACCCATAGGTTAGGAACATTTTTTTATACTGAATATGTTTCCTGCAGGTAGCCGTGCGTACACATAACTATTACAGGTGTTTCAGTTGCTTAGCCCTCAAATAAATAGAGCACGGCCCCCAAATAAATAGTGTGATTGACTTGAGTATTTTATTTTCATATATATAACTGCTTGGATGATTGATTATAACTATTTAGAATAATCATGCATGAGAGTCTAGATTTTTTATTTTTCTAATGTAATTCATTCAGTGTCAAGAGTTGTGAAAATAAGTAAAATAAGATATTTTTAAATATAGAGGGGTTCAAATAAAAAAGAAAATCTCTTATAATAAATTTCATTTTTCATTTGGGCATCCTTTTGGAGGACGCAATACAAGGAACCCGAAGGAAGGAAGATGATCCATAGATGAATCAAGAGAGTTAGGATGGAGATCGAGATAAAAATGCTTTATTTTAAGATTTACGTCGTTCTCTAGGAGTAGAACCCGAGTTATTGTCGGCGGAGCCCGGCCACCACTACATTTTTGCACTCTGATTTGTATATTGTATGGCATTTGTCATGAACTTTGGACACTCTCTTTATTATTATTATTTTGTTGTGATGGTTTGTTTACTCTATTTGTGCAGTAGAACTGACATGATTTTTATAGGTTTGTTTCTTGTATGCACATGTGCCTAACTCGCTAGGCTCTTAGGGATAAAATTCTTCTACTCATAATTAATAATAAATTTTTAGGAATTAAATAACATAGAAACATAATGATTTAGGAAATAGCCGGAATCATTCAGGGTCGCATGCATATCAATGTATTTTCTCTTCCTTATTTAGACACTTCCCCACCTGCGGGTAGAGTCCGGATAATCTGGCCTATGAGGATGAAGTGTCGGACTTGGGGAAGCTTAGTTTTTTTAAAAAAAATTATTTTTATAAGCTCTTTTTAAAATTTCAAGCATATTTGATTTGGAGATTTTAATCCGCACGCATTGCATTAGTAATCAACTAAAATTAAAATTTAATTATATTAGTTTTAGATGCATAACACCATTCATAAGTATGAGGCAACTTAGGAACTTCTCTAGATGTCGGCCTCAAATTCCAAAAATTTATATACCCACCCATCTTTCACATGGATCGAAAATCATGGATTGTATACGACTATGTGGTTTTAGTTATCTTTCTTTTTTAGGCAAGATATAAGTCCAGGCTGTATTAGTTAGGTCGTGGATGTTAGTATCGTATGTACGATACTACATTTACAGATTTAGAATCTAAGACTATGGTATGAGTGTACCGCTGTATGTCTTATCGGTGGGTAAGCTCTTATCTTTCAGGGGCTATAAATCTTATCCATTCGTATCATATGGATGACATCACCTCCCTCTTTTTCTCACGCATGTTTGAATGTAATTGTTTTCTTTTTCTCCAGTTTCCTCTTCCTTAGACCGATCGAGTGATAATTGAGCCATGCATGATTGATTAAACCAAATTGAGCCTATCTTTCCCTTTGATTAAGAAAGCCTATAAATTTCTCTTACGCACTAAACCCATTTGAGAGAATAATACAACATCCTTAATCGAGAGTTTTTTTAGGTCAAGATTTAAGATGTAATTAACCACGGGGGTTTGTGCCCGTGGGAAACAGATCCCCACATCAAATAAATCCTATTCAAGCTGATGTATTAAATATGGAAAATCTCATGACTTTGATTAGGTTATACATATTATTATCCATCGATGTGTGTAGGTGAAAGCCGCTACCCACCATGATTAATCGTATATATAATCTCATATGCTCTCCCATTGGCATGAGTGTAAAGGCCTATGATCGTTTTGTCCTACATGATAGTGCGATCGTACTCTTTGCATTCGTTTCACGTAAGCAGAATCTTTTTGGAGACTCACAGTGTCGACTCACAGCGACTTTGGTTAGAAGAGGAGAGCAGCTAAAGTTCATAACTTGTTGGAAAAGTTTATAGCTTTATGGGCTGGCTTCCATATTTCTGGCTTTTATTTATTAAAATCCTAACTAAAACTATTTAAGTTTTTTATTATAGCTTTAAGAGCTCATTTAATTGGTTGTAAAATGCAAAGCAAGCTTTAGAAAGTCATGTTTTTTTATTTCAGCCATTTTGAGAGACAAGCTGAAATCCTCACTTTGAGGAATTAAAATAAAATGCATAGTTTTTCAAAAAAAAAAAAAAAAAAACTTTCTAACTCGAAGAAATCATAAATCTTATATTTAATATTGTAAATTATTTGTGGTTTACTATCTTATATTTAATATTATACAATTTTGGATAATAATTAAAAAAAATTAAAACTATCTATGCCGGTCTCACTTTGAGGAATTAAAATAAAATGCATAGTTTTTCAAAAAAAAAAAAAAATTTTTTTTTCTAACTTGAAGAAATCATAAATCTTATATTTAATATTGTAAATTATATGTGGTTTACTATCTCATATTTAATATTATACAATTTTGGATAATAATTGAAAAAAATTAAAACTATATATGCCGGTCTCAATCCTGAATGAAAAAAGTTAAGAGAAAACTTTAATAAAATAATTTCATGGAAAATATATAATAATTTCATAACTTTGTCTTCATGAGCCAGATTAGATTTCAAAACCCATTAATTTTCCTTATAGATTATAAAGAATATTGGGTATTGATTTAGCCATGGGTCAAAGTAAAACTACAAATCAGCTTTAAATTGTCTCATTGATCATGTCCACTACAAGTAATTGACCATATGAAAAGGATATTGAATTCTTACACCATTAGTCATGTTTATTATGATTGAATAGAATTGACTACTATAAGTTAAACTAAGAGAGTCACTTATAAACCAAATAGAGATAGTGTTTGTTTCTTCCATACTCATTAGTTGATTATCAAATCAATATAATGTCTCTACAGTTAATTGGAGCTTATACTTAACTAAGTCCAAGCTAAGGAATATATAATTGAATAAGACATCAATGAAACTTTCATTTTCAACTAAGATTATTATAAATTTATAGTATGGTTCATCTATCCCAGTTTGATGATATGTGGGTCTTGGTGCAAAGTTTGGATTCCCTCTAAGTTATAATCATTAAATATAATATAATAATTAGAATGAGATTTCTTCAATATCGTCACTTTAAGGGTGATGAGTAGAACTTGTAATGATAATGATGGTCCTCTATTAATGATCTCAACTTCTCCCAACCTCTAATAGTTTCCTTATTGTTACCTTTATTATTATTATTGATTTTGTCCCACAATAGGATTAGTTCTATTGTTTACAAGTTAATTTTAAATAAATTAGTGAATATAGCCCTATTAAAGCAACCTCTTAATCTCTTCTTTCAATTATCCATAGGCTTAAATGACATGTTTACAACTTTGGTTGTAATGTCAATATTATTCTTGATTTCTTGTATTTGATCTTAATGAATTAGGCCACTTAATGCACTCCTCATCTCAAATCAAATCTCTAGCATAACATTGGCTTTTTTTTTTAATTGCAATTTGCATTAGAAATGAAAAGAGTTACAAGTAACTAAAGATAGTAATCACATTCCTTTTTCAACAAATAAAATAGAGAAGAAGGAATGCTATTCTTAAAAAAATAATCAAAAGTAAAGCTACTATCTAAAGCTAAAGTAGCACAACAATCTATTACTTTATTTCAATTCCTAGAAATCAAATGAAAGATAACCTTATTGAAATCATTAAGGAAAATAATGTCTTTATTCCAATCTTCCAATTGTTTCCATTTCATCTTCTTTAAAGAATCTTGAAGCCATTTGATTACATTGCGATTGTCTCCTTCAATAATAACCCCCTTGTATTGGAGCATCCAGCATTGCAAATGTTCTTTAATTAAATAAACTGCATGTAGTTCAAGAGATGCAATATCCCAGTGCTTTACCTTCTTACCAAAAGAACCAAGGAATCATACCTTATGATATCTAATAATAACTACAAGGCCTGCATTATATGAATCCTTTAATGTAGCATCCACATTGATCTTTATCCAATCTAGGGGAGGAGGACGCTAAATATTAACAAACTTCGTTCAGAGATTAGCATCCCAAATTCCTATAATTGGATTAGATGACATTTGCATAATGGAACTGAATACATTTAAAGCTAAAAAATGAACAGATGAAGTATCCATTACAAGCTTTATTTGATTTATTCTTTTCCATGGGAAATAAATTGATGTAAAGTAATGTTTAACTATATTCAAGTTAACTATATACAATCTCTTCAACTCCTCTAAGCACTGGAGTAGGAATCAAATATAGGAACTTGAAATCCCCATTCAAACAGCTTATGAATAATTTGAAGCAGCTGATTACAAAAAATAGCTACATGCTCCTAGTTTTCCACATCATCACAACCACACGGACATCTACTTGATTGCATTAAGTTTCTATAGTTCAAAAAGGAATTAGTAGGAAGAGCATTCTTACATAATATCCACCAAAACAGCTCTACTTTAGGCAGGAATTTGAATTTCCTGAAATAATTCAATGTTTCGTTCATGCAGTTTTTAGAAATTTTGCTTTGTTCGTGACTTTCCAACCATGCTTCAAACGAAAGTGCAGTTATTGATTTCCGTGAATGTTGTTTAATTAGTTCAATGCTATCTTCATTCATATATGGAGGTAACTTTATTGATTTGATAATAAAAAATCAAATCTTCATTAAAACAATTATGTATTTGCAAACAATTTCAGCTGCCATCTTCAGAAATAAGTTTGTGGACCGCTTCATTATGAAGCTCATGATAATTAACATAAGTGGGTCATTTGTTAAGAGGTTTATCAAAGATCCAAGCATCATTCATGATACTCACTTTGATTCCATTCACCAACTTCCATCTAACAACATTTTTTAAATATTTTGCTCAATCTACCAAAATTTTCGAAGTTGTAGAATTTCCTTTCCTAACCATACCGCTCCACACATCACTACCATATTCAGAAATGATAACACAATTAGGATTTTGAATAAATCTCCATGTAAGTCTTGACCTCAAAGGTCCAACTTTAGTGACTAAAGAATGAAGGCCAAATCCTCCAAGCAACTTTAGTTTACAAAAGTCTTCCCAAGACACAGTGTAATCCTTTCTTGTCTTCATCTTTATGCCATAAGAAATCTCTACACATTCTATCCAACTCATACAAAATTCCTTTAGGAACCAAAGAATGTGTAGATAAAAAAATTGGAAGTGAAAGAAAAAAAACTTTTGATTAGTAGAACTCTTCCTGCCAAAGAAATATATCTATTACCCCATGCATTCAATCTTTCCAACGCATGGTCTAAGATACTTCTGAAATTAGAATGCACAAGCCTTATCAATGCCATATTCACTCCCAGGTATTGCATCTCTTTCACTATCTTAAACCCCAACTTCTTAGCAATTCTCTTCTTACACATTTTCTTCATAAATTTCCCAAAAAAAATTTGAGATTTCATGTTGTTTACTTTTTGGCTGGTCCACCCACAAAAATCATTCAAAATTTTCTTCAAACAAGTGGCTAATCTCATAAAAGCATTAGAAAATATCAAAACGTCATTGACATAAAGTAAATGTGTAATTTTATCAGATTTAGGGGATATTTTTATACCCAAATATGCACCCTTTTGATAAATAGCATTGGAAAGCAATTGGGTGCAAAGGATATACAAATCAGGGGATAACGGGCATCCTTGCCTAAATCCACTTTCAGCTTCTATCCAACTCGTTCTCCTACCATTAATGAGTATATAATATCTCATCTTTTGGACACATTCCATAATATGCTTGCTCCATGTCCAAGTTGACCGCCATAAGTACTTTTTTGCAGCTAGAAAATCTGAACTTGTTGAAGATTTCTTAAGCCAATAAGCAATGATTTGACATAGATCTTCCAAGAATAAAAGCAACTTGATCTTTTGTAATTAATTTACGCAAACAATGTTTCACACGATTCATACTCATTCTAGCAACTACCTTGTATATTGATTGACATGAGCTTATTGGTTTGAATTGTAATGGTTCCAATGGATTATTCACCTTTGGGATTAACACAATCAATGTCTTTCCATTTAGGATGCATTTCTCCATGAGTGAAAAATTTATTAACAACCCTCCACAAATCTTCTTTAATAATGCTCCAATAGAAGTTGAAAAATGAGCCAATTATACCTTCCAAACCAGGCGATTTACTATTCCCCAAGCTTTTTACTGCTTCCTGCATTTCATTTAGTGTAAAATCTGCATTAAGCATATTACATTTAGCATTATCAATTGTTTGTTGAGTTCCAAATTCAGGCCAACCCGAAATCGAACACTCCCTCTGCATCCATTTTCGATTGAAGAATTTAAAAAATGATGTTTCAACTTTGTCTTGATCAACCACACGACCTTCATCTTCATCATTAATTTGATTAATTAGCTTTCCATTCCTTCTAGTTGAAGCATAGTCATGAAAAAAATTGGAATTGGTGTCTCCTTCTTGTATCTATCTAGTCTTAGCTCTTTGATTCCACCAAGTGGATAACCGAGCTAATATAACATTAAGTTCTCTCACTTTACTTCTTAATAACATCAAATCCAACTGAGAAAGGCCATCTTCAGAGCTTTCCTTAATTTGCAAATCTATAATCTCCTTCTTCAAAGAATCCTTCAACATTGATAGCTCCTTTACTTTGTTCTTGTTCCAATAATACAATTCTTTGAGAGATCTGTCTAGCTTTTTGTTTAGGATTTCAGCATTATTACCAAAATCATTCTTCCTCAATGCTTTGAGTATAACATTCCACGCAGCAGGGCAAGATCTCCACACATCTTCGAATCTAATGTGTTTGTGAACCGACCTCATTGTATTATGAATTTTAAATACAATAGGAGAATGATCGTAAGCCACTCTTTCCAAATGTCTCACATAAGCATTGGGGACTTACTGAAGAGTTGCAGAGTTCAATAAGCAACTATCAAATCGTTCACATATCCTCGTTCCCATATCCTCGAGTTACCATCTTTATTATTACACCAAGTAAATCTTGGTCCAATAATACCTACATCATGCAAATCACTATTAGCTAAAAAAGATTTCATCTCTTGCGAGCCTTGGGAGAAAGAAAACCTCTTTCCCCCTCTCTTTTCTTCCTTAGACAATATGCAATTAAAGTCCCCTCCTACTAAAGATGGAACATTACCATCCAAAACCTTATCAAGACTATTCCACAAACATCTTCTAGCCCACACATCCTTACTCGCATAAACCATTGCAACATTCCAACTTCCTATATTAGAAAAATGGAATTTCCCAAACACAATCTGAGAAGAATTAAAAACAACCTCAAAACTACCCACCAGCCTCTTCCACAATACAAGGATACCCC